AGCTGGAGACTTTAGATCCAGAGAGGGAAAGCGACTGTGTGCTGAAAACCTGGAGGGTACGGGGATTAGGATTGCATGGAGGGGATTGTAACCATGGCAATGAGATGATATACAATAGAATGAATGTAAAACTAATGTTTTCCCATGTAAACTATCACATAATTCACAATAAAACATTTAAAAGAAAATAAAAGAAAACCCACTGGAGCACAGTTATACTCTGGCACACACAGGGTCACCACAAGATAGAGTTGACTTGATATCAGGCAACCTGTCCCTAAAGACTTTATGAGAGTAAACCATCAAAGTGCCTTCTATGAAGTAGGTTTGTTACTATATAAATAAATGATGACATTTTCATTATTACTGGCTTTTAAGCTTTTAAAGCTATTTTTTAATCAGTGTCTTGTCTAATTTGGGCATTTCAGTGTTAGGGGAATCCCAGAATGTTTGGATTCCTTCATAATTTTGAAGAATTCCCTCCAGGAATATTTGTTCAGTTCATTCATTGACATATACTCATGAGAAAATAATAAAGTAAATCTCTTTCTTTTTTCTGTTTTTCTAACAAATTATTCTAGAAAAAAATGATTAGGATTTGTTCAAAAATTAATAGGTATATTGCCAGGGCCAATTTTTGTGATGTTTCTCCCCACTGGAATTCATGCCAAACTTCCTGAAGGAAAAACAAAACTGAAACTTATAGCCAAACAATAAAACATGTATTCCTCTCCACATTTATGTCAGTAAATGGTATATCAGATATCCACTGCCAACACCTTCACCCATCTACAACTATATAGTAGTAAAGGAATCGTGTGGTTTTGGAACATTTGAAAATGGACAGAGGCGAGTTCTCTTGCCCATCTACGCTAGTATTTTAAAGTAATTTGAGACAACTTGTGAATCTAGTTATGAATAAGTTCAAAATGACTTAGTTTACATTCTTTTTTCATTATGGTCTTTTTTTACCTGGAGAGAATCACAATGAAGTCTGAAGTTTTGACTCACAAGCTATCCATAACTATTTTAACCACATTTTTGGACCAGTTTCCTTCTTTTCATCCTCCCCTGCTTTGACCCAACTTCTTAAAGACATTTGGCTTATTTGGTTGATATTTTACCTCTCTGCAATTTTCTCTCTCTTCTTTTTTAAATCAGAGTTCTAATATTATGCAGTTGATCAAATAATTCTTTTATGTTTTTTTCCTGTTTTCCTCTCTTCATATACAAAAATTTGCTCAGAATTTGCCATTTTTAAGACTCGAGCATCATGCATTATGCAAATTTTTGAAACAGAGAAGAAAGCAACATTTTTCTGCTCTGCCTTACATACAAGGAAAGGATGATGAAGTAGAACATCATTTCTACTCAGCATCTGATTGTTATAGATTAAATTGTGTTCCGTCAAAATATGAGTTGGATGCTTGGCTTTCTTACCTGTGGAAGCGAGCCTCTTTGGAAATAGGGCTTTGTTTTTTCACATTAATGTGGGCAGACCTGTGTGGGGTGGATGCTAAACTGAAGCACTTCTGAAGTATAAAAGCACCAGAATAGACACAGAGACACAAACGGGGGAAGGCAGATGCCATGTGAGGATTGACTACAAGCCAAAGAAACAAGGAACACTTGGGCCTACTGACAAGAAAGAAATCTACACAGGCAAGACCCAGACTTGGACTTTTACCCTCCGTAACTCTGATAAAATCAACGTCTGTCCTTTAAAGTCACCTGTTTGTGTCACTGCAGCATTGGGTAACAAAGACAGTGCCAGTTGTGGTGCTTACTACATAAGCAAAGAATCAACACTAGCTGCCATTTATCAAGCCCCCTCCCCACAACACACTGTATATATATATATATATGCAAATGGATGCGTGCTCTAGTTCAGAACTCCAGACAGACCATGGGATTATCAGGGGATTCAGACTGTGAGATACATACAGGAGAGATTAAAATGGTGGCTTTCCACTGTTGATTTTTCTCAATGCATTGGAGTTCTGAATATTCTCTATGTATCGTGTGAGGACCAAAAGCATCAGTGGACAAATCTAGGTGGTTCCAGGCAACCTGATGCCGAGGTAGCCCCCATTTCCTAAGAACTACTCAATGGGAGTGCCCACACTGTACACCATCTTGGACAGGCCCTCTTTGACACCCAGATAACAAAAGACCCTCCAAGCTCCCAAAACCCTCTCCTTGCCAGCCCCAGGTGACACCTTGACTTCTATTCTGGAAGTATACTCACGATTTTCACAGTGTCGCCCAGTATAGCCCGCCAGGCAGGCACACTTGTAAGATCCGGCTTTGTCAAGGAGGCACGTGCCATCGTGGAAACAAGGAGATGAGGAACAGGCTGTAAGAGAAGAGGTAACTTCCCTCAGCAGCACCAAGAGGGAGTTGATGTCTTCAAGCCTGGAGTCTCGGCTGGAGTCTTTTACTTGTCTATTAAACTTTTCTTGTGTCTTTTACTCATCTTACTCAACTCACGTTTTCATTATTTGGGACTGTCTAACTTAAGGTCTAAGGAGCTCTGGTAGCGTAATCGTTACGAATCAGGCTGCAAACCACAAGGTCAGCAGTTTGAAACTACCAGCTGTTCTGCGGGAGAAAGATGAGTCTTTCTGCTCCCATAAAGATTTACAGCCTCGGAAACCCTGTTCAGGGTCTCTATGGGTCGGAACCGACTGGACAGCACTTAACAACAACAACATAAGGTCTATCAACACTCATGGAAGCAGCAGTCAAGAAATCAAACAACGTATTGCATTAGGCAAATCTGCTGCACAAGACCTTTTTAAAGTGTTGAAGAGAAGATGTCAGCTTGAGGACAAAGGTGCGCCTGACCCAAGCCGTAGTATTTTCAATAACCTCATATGCATGTGAAAGCTGGACAGTAAATAAGGAAGACGGTAGAAGAATTGATGCTTTTGAGTTATGGTGTTGGAGGAGAATGTTGAAAGTGCCATGAGCTGCCCATAGAACCAACAGATCTATGTTGGAAGAAGTGCAGCCAGAGTGCCCCTTGGAGGCCAAGATGGCCAAATTTCGTTTCTCATATGTTTCAGACATATTATCAGGAGGGACCAGTCACTGGAGAGGGATATCATGTTTGGTAAGTGGAGGGTCAGAGAAAAAGAGGAAGACCCCCAACGAGATGAATTGGCCAAGTGGCAGCATCGATGGACTCAAGCGTTGCAATAGTAGTGAGGTTGGCCCAGGATCGGGCAGTGTTTCGTTCTGCTGTGCATAGGGTAGCTATGAGTCGGCACCGACTCGATGGCACCTAACAACAACAACAACAATCCATGGAGACATTGGTGATTCCCTGATATAATTCTTATCTTACATTCAGAGGCCTGGGTTCTATTGCCAGCTAGTATACCTCATGTGGGGCCACACCTGTCCGTTGCTATACATGTAAGCTCTGATGCTGAACACATTTATAATACCATTGCCCAGGACTTGATCTGCTAGGGGTCCAAAGGCAATGTTCTCAATTAACCAGGGGAGGTCCCACAGTGAGAGTTCCAGAGCCAAACTGCTTGTGTACAAACTCATGGTTCCATCTCTCATGGCTGTGTGATCTGAGGGAAATTACCCAACCTTTCTGTGCTATGGTTATCACACCTGTAAAAGGGGAATAATAATTCCTATTTCTGGTGTTGGGTGGACTTTTCTAAAACATAGCCTTGTCATTTCTCTGTTATTTTCAGTATGTACATTGCTTTTGAGAGCCCAGCATGCTAGGTTTTAATGAGCCTGAGCAGGGAGAAAGGAGATATTTGTCTGGAACACAGCCATAAAAATCTATATTTGTCTCCATAGCTTTTACCTGTGATCTCCTCAAAAATAGCATGGAAACCATCAAAGTTCTTAGAGCCATCCGAATGGAAGAGGACGTGGAGTGAGGGGCCCGTGCTCTGGATGGGAGCTGGCCGGTCGTTACCACAGAAACGCTTGATGATCTGGCCATCACTGTTGTCCCCATCACGGACCTCGACATAGTCATACTGGCACATGTAGTCAAACTCCAGGCTCAGCATGACAAACCTGCAGACAGAAACGGTACAGAAGGGCCCAGCTGAACTCTGTTGGGAAATAATCAAAGTCTTGGGAGAAGATGGTGCAGCTGGCCCAATCTGATAGGAAGCTGGTCCTGGAGGACTTGAGGTCAGGTGAATTTCTGTTACTGGCCAGGTGTGTATAGGTGTACTGGATGCATGTCTGCATACAAGCATCCCAGGTGGAGAGGGGATGCCATATTTCATTTAGAGACTCTGCACATGCCAACCCCTCTTCCAAGTTCACTTTGCTTCCCAATTTGCATTGTCTGGGCCCTTCCTATCCTTCTAGCCTCAGCTTAAACATTCCTGCCTCAAAGAGGCTTCCTGACCATTCTTCCTAAGAGGTGACCTGTTTCCTCATAGTGATGACACAAATTGTAACTTCTCATCTTGGTCTAGTTGACTCTTTTGTGCCTATCTTCTCCATTAGACTTCAAGTTCCAAGAAGGCAGCAACATCTATCTGCCTTGTCTTACCATTGTAAAGTGTCTAGCACAGTGCCTGTTGTTGTTAAGTGCCGTTGAGTCGGTTCCAACCCATAGTGACCCTGTATAGGGTTTCTGAGGGGCAGCTGGTGAGCTTAAACCACCGACCTTTGCAGTTCAAACAGCTTTGCAGAATAGCGCATTAACCCACAGGGTCTCACCAGGACTCCAACACAGTGCCTAGTACACAGCAAATATTGCTGAATAGATGAGTGAATGGATACTATGTTATAATTTTACTCTTAGAGAATGGAAGAAGCACCTATTTTTTTGCAAGACTATGTAAAAGGGGTGGCAGTTCTTTGTATTCTTCTCAGCTTGAAGAATCAGAAGGTGATTATCTTCTAAATAACAATAATTCTCATCTCAAAGTGTTGATAGAGTCACACCATATCAGAATTCTAGGGATGAGGCAGATCTGTGCTTATTTAAAAGGATCTTGAGTTTTAAAAGATTGGGATACATCAGCTCAGAAAAGAACATGTGATATTTTGGCAGAGACTTCAATGAAAAAATGGAGTTTGCCACATGAAGGTCATGGAGAAGGGTAGTCCAAACAGGGGAATCTGTAAGTGCAAAGTCCCTGAGGCAACGATGAGCTTGGCATGTTTGAGGGACTGAAGCAAGGTCAGGGAATCTGCAGGGTAGTAAATGAGGGCAGGAGTGGGAGAAAAAAGGTCAACAAGGAGAGCAGAAACCTGACCCTGCATAGTTAGGAAACCAGTAGCAAGTTTCAGCAAGGAAATAATGACTTATGATTTTAAAGAATCACTCTAGCTACCTGAGAATATGATATCACAGAGCTGACAGAAGTGGGACCAGGGCAGATGGTTAGGAGGTCATGGTAGAAGCCAGGTGAGAGATATGGGTGTGGTCTGAAATATAAGCATGGCAGTGGAGTTAGAAAGGTGTAGCTGAACTAGGGATTATGTTAAATGTGGGAACACAGATTTGATGGTCTGGCTATGGTAGGTGATGAAAGGAAGGGCATTTGGCCTTGAATATTGTGCATACACTTCAAAATGTTTCCATCATTACTGTCAGCCCTGGCTAGGAGGTTCAGATTTAACTAGCTGGAAAGAAAGCTACATATTTCTAAGTTTCCCTGGAGGCCTCTCCTAGACAAGTGATGTATTTATCAAACCTTCTACCATTTTTGGTTTTATACATGCGTTTTCTTGGAGGAGTTCTGTCAGAGGAACCTAGGGTCCACTTGTTCTGGTCTCTGAACTGCTGAAATAGTCACACACAGCATTTACTACATGATCGTATCATCCCTGGAAGACCCCACCTTGAGCCCAGTAAGCAGAACTATGTGACCCCTCACTGGCTGTTTGTTAAGTGCCTAGGAAAGTCCAATTAATGAGCCTCATCCAGAGAGATTCCAGGGAGTGGGAAGACCAGCTGACAAGGGCCAATTTTGATGAGGAGGATTGGGGTAGATCTGTGTTGCAGTGGACCCTTCTGAAACAGGCTACCTTCTTGGGAGGAAAGGGTGTCATTGGAGGAGCCTTCTGGCAAGTAGCAACTTCTGGATGGCTGATCCATCCAGAAAGTACATACTTATTGAGAGCTTGCCTGTGCCTTAGGGTGTTTGAGATGTTCGTCATGAGTACTCTCCCCACTGGCTAGAAAAGAGAAGAGCTTACTGGACAATATTTCTAGAAATCTCAAGAGTGAGTGGGTCAATTTGCTTCCCTAGAGATAAAAAAAGAGAAGTATTTTCCAGGAGAGAGGAGATACACCAGAGGCACAAGTTCTTTCAGCATCTATTTATGCAAGTCTTCATTGAGCACTATGGATAATATCATGTATGACAAGGTAGAGAGTCCGTGAGAACAAGGAAACCGTTAAATGAGATGGAGTGACACCATAGCTACAATAATGGATCAAACATATCAACGATCATGAATAGGGGGGCAGGACCAGGCAATGTTTTGTTCTGTTGAACGTAAGGTCACCATGAGTTAGAGTCAACTCAATGGAAACGAACAGCATCAACAATAACAATGGTCTACCTTTCATTGTTCCATTGTACTAGGATCTAGCAGTGAACGGCTCTCATAAAACAGGACTCTTGTTACATCTATCAATATTTGCAATAGAACAAGGTCTGTAATTAAAAGACTATCGTATAAATTAAATATTTGCTGAGGACTCTAAAGCATCATTGGAAGAAATGATTTATTTTCTATACCAGTGGGAGAATTGGTTTACTTGTTGTGAGTGTGGAAGTCATTTTCTGAGAGCAGAAATTTTAAAAAAACTATGATAAGACTAAACTCCAATCTAGCTAGAGTACATACCCCTTGAAGATTATATTTGTGCTTTCAATTTCTTCACACACCTCCCAGGGATACCAGTCTAATGCAGGGCACAATGGAAAACCTGTTAAATACGTGTAGGTAGGTAGATCCCTCTCAGTATTTTGCTTTGATGATATTCTTCTTGGATCAAAAACATCTGAGCCCCTTCTGTTGTAGAGCAGTGACTAACAAGCATTTAATTGGCTGAAGTTCTGACCCTTCCACCACTGAATCACAGAGAAGTTGAGAAAAAGGCTGCCAGACAATTTTTTATGCTTTAAAGACTAAAGTTCTGGTGGTTAGCCCTTGATAACAGTCATAGTTAGGGTGCTATGTCAACTTGATGAGCCCAGGATTTCCAGGAACAAGCAGTTAACATGTGCTTGTTACCATGGTGATGGTAATATAATGGTAATACTCTATGAGAGTGGCAATGAGCAGCCAATCAATTGAAAGAATGTTCCCAACGGACACACTAGAAAGGCTCTCTCTCTCTCTCTCCCACTGGGGCCCTGAGACTCTACAACTGTAAGCCATTTATTTCCTTGATAATAAACTTCTCTTTATATATGTACATATATATGTTTCACTGGTTTTGCTTCTCTAGAAAACCCAGCCTAAGATATTAACTAAGATCTAGGGCCCTCAATCCCACATGTTTCCTTCTAACCACAGACTCTGTTATTCTGACTTCAGCCTCCTTACCTTAGTTGGATGTTAAACCCAGGTTTGGCATGAATGGTCCATTCGCAATGAGCATTTAGCGGGTAACTCTCCAACAAAATCTGGCCCTTTGGAGCTTGCAGAACCTGGCCACAACCTGAGAAAATAAGATTGGAACATGGAGGTTGGAGTCATTAGGAAGAAAGCAGAAGAAGGTCTCAGAAAGTCTGTGAGCTCATTCTACACCCTTGAGAAGAAAATGAAGAAGGGAAAGGAAGAAGGAAATTAATACTATTTCAAAAGCACTTGGCGTTGTGGTAGGCAATTTCATTGGTTAACACATTCAATCCACCCAAAAGTTTGGAAAGGGAAATATAAAATTTTTCCAACTAGGAGAATAGATCCTTAGAGAGTTGAATAAACAACTTGTCCAGTTACTAAATGACAAAGATTCAAACCCAGTACTTCTGAATGTGAAGTCCAAGTCTCTTTATCATCCAGCCTCTCCAAGATCACCAATGCCAGGCCTCAGAATGCAGCGCCTCGTACCTCTACTCTGTAGTCTTTGTCGACAGTCTAAATCATCAAAAGACCCTTGGGTCTGTGCTCCCTGCACACCTTTACCCCACACATATACATCCCAACCAGCTCTTTGCTGTGACTCCCAATATCCAGTTAGAAAGGTTATATATTACTTTCTTCTATGAACAATGATATAATTTGTTATTGTTGTTAAGTGCTGTCGTGTCAGTTCCAACTCATAGTCACCTTGTATAGGGTTTCCAAGGAGTAGCTGGTGAATTTGAATCACTGACCTTGAGGTTCAAACCAACCTTATAATTGAGTACTTATCCTATAAATGCTTCTTTAATGCATAACATTGGAAAAGATGGGTTATTGCCCACCAATTAAACTAGATTTATTATTTTAACATTTTTCTTCTATATTCCAACCCATTTTTTTCCCAAACAAATTCTTATGAAAACCATCAATTTAAAAACATGGATCAAAGAAGGGCTCAAGGTTGAAGCAGAAGCAGGAAGCCTAAAATCCTCCAAACTCACTCTCATCCTGGTCCCCTAAGACCTCCTCCAGAAATCCCCAAGACCTATAAAGTACTTATCTAAGCAGTCTTGTAATTGTATCATCATTTCTTAGCGTTAAGACAATCATAAGTATGCAAGATGAACTCTTTCACAAAGTGTTTTGGGGAAATGTCTTGAAGTGGTTAGTAGAAAAAATTTTTTTATAATATAAATAAATGATATTCTAAGCTCCAGTGTGGTGTTGTATGATAAGCACTGGACTGGTAACTATAAGGACAGCAGTTCAAATGTACCTGCTGCTCTTGGAAACACTATGAGTCAGAACTGACTTGATAATACACAGCAACAGCAACCAAGGGATGGTTAACTATGTGCTAGGGGCCAAATTTGGCCCACTGTCTGTTTTTTTAAATAAAACTTTATTTGAATATAACCACATCTATTCATCTATGTGGATGAAAATGTTATAAATAATAAATCTAGTGTGGCACTATAGGATATACACGGGATTTGATCCACAAGGTCAGTGGTTCAAACCCACCAGCCGCTCCTTGGTAACCCTATACAGAGTCTCTATGAGTTAGAACCAACTCGAAGGCACTTAGCAACAATCATCACTAGCGTTTTCAAACTATAACAGCAGCTGAGTTGTTGAGATAGGAACCACATGGCTTGCAAAGTCTAAAATATTTACTATCTGGCCTTTTACAGAGAAAATTTGTGGATCCCTGTTTTATACAGAAATTCAGTTTGACAACATAAACTCTGCATATGCAGTTATATTCAATTAACTCTGAAAAAAAGCACAAACTCCCATAGGTAAAAGAGAAAAACATTAGGATCAGTGGATACTACTGTACTGTATGGCAGGATCATAATAGAACTATTTCCACAGTGTTAGGAAAAGAGCTCAAAGTCTATTTGACAAGCTGTCAGACTTGAGGCTTGTTCTTTCTGTTTAAATTACTGCTACGTTATACGATTCATCTCTCCACGAAGTTCTACTGTTGCTGTTGTGCGCAATCATGGAATGCGTCATCCTCTCTTTCCCATTTGGGGCTCTTGCCACACCCCATGCTCCATCACATCTCTCTCTGCAGTCTGACTCCTTGACCATCCGTGTCTAACACCATTCGATTCTTCACACAGTAGCCAAAGCCATCTTTTAAATAAATAAACTGGACCTCACTTATAAAAAGCCATTGCCATATCAACCCCATCTCATGGTGACCTCACATTTGTCACAGAGGACTGAGCTCCATAAGGCTTCCAATGGCTAATTTTTCCTAAGTAGATTGCCAGACCTTCCTTCCAAGGTACCTCTGGTGGTGGTGGCTATGTGCTGCGGAGTCGGTTCCAAGTCATAGCGACCCTGTACAGAGTTTCTGAGGTTGTAAATCTTTACGGGAGCAGAACACCTCATCTTTCTCCCACGGAACGGCTGGTAGTTTCGAACTGCTTACCTTGAGGTTAACAGCCTAATTCGTAACCACTATGCTACCAGAACTCCTAAGGTACCTGTAGGTGGACTCAAATCTCCAAGTTTCTAGTTAGACCCCTCTCACATTAATCATTTGCACTACCCAGGGTCTCCCAGATCACATTTTCCCCAGGATTAGTCCTGGTGTGGAGCTGTGGGCTAATGCACCAGATTGCAAAGCCATTTGAACTACAAGGTCGGTGTTTCAAGCTCACCAGTCGCTCCTTGGAAACCATATACAGGGTTGCTATGGGTTGGAACTGACTTGACCACACTTAACAACAACAACAATATGAAAATAAATGGGGGGGAAAAAAAAGGACTAAGGTATGCCTGATCCAAAGTCCTGGTATTTTTCATACCTTAAATACATGTGGAAGTTGAACAGTGAATAAGGAAGGCTATAGAAGCATCAATGCATTTGAATTACAGTGTTAGTGAACAATAACGAAAGTACCATGGCCTGCCCAAAGTAGAAACAAACCTGTGATGGAACAAGTACAGCCAGAATACTTCCTGGAAGTGAGGATGACAAGACTTTGTCTCTTGTACTTTGGGCATGTGGGCAAGAAGGACCAGTAACTGGAGACAATGTGGTTAGCACAGTGGAGAGTAAGCCCAATAGAGGAAGACCTCCAACGAGATGGGTTGACACAGCCACAAAACCAATGGGCTCGAACCTAACAGTTGTGAGGAGGGTGCAGGACCAGGCAGTGTTTTGTTCTGTTGTGCATAGAGATGCTACCTAACAACAACAGCGACAACATGCATCTTCATGGGCCTGCCTCATCTACCCAACCTACCCTCTGTCTGGATCATTGATGCTGCTGGTTCATACTGTGCCAATTCTGTTCCCAACACCAGGTCTTGCACTTGGTGTTCCCTTAACCTAGAAGGCTCAATTCCTCCAGATTGTCACGAAGCTGATGCCTTCCTTTGGGAAATAAGCTCAGCTGCCACTTTCATAGGGAGCCCTGGTAGCACAGTGGGTTAAGCATTGGGCTTGATCATCCAATAAAGTGTTGTTGTTAAGTGCCATTGAGTCGGTTCTGACTTGTAGCCACCCTGCATAGGGTGTTCTAGGAGCAGCTGGTGAATTTGAACTGCTGATTTTGCTGTCGTCCAGTGCATTATGCCACAGTGCCACATCAGGACTCCCGCTCAGTCCCTCAGTCGCTCTCATCACTCGGTTTCATTTCCTTCCGAACGACTGTCACCATTTGAAGTTATTTAGCTTTCTTGCTTCCACCACCCAGCTGTCAGTTTGCCACCCTCTGGTGGCTAACATTTTCCTACGATACTAGTAGCTAGGTTACTGGTATTTCAAATACTGGCAGTATTTCCTATGATGAACAGGTTTCAACAGAGCTTTCAGACTAAGACAGACTAGGATCTGCTTCCAAATATGAATCAGAGAAAAGCTTATGCATCAGAACAGAACATCACCTGACTCTCTTGCTTTGGGCACATGTCAGAAGGATGAGTGGAAGGTGGAAGACACTATTTCTGGTGAAGTAGAGGGCCAGAGAGGGCGATGACAGACCTTTCGTGAGATAGATTGGCCCAACAACCGAAATTATGAACTTGAATATACTGGTAATTGTGAAGATAATGCAGGACGAGGTAGCATTCCTTTCTGTTGTACACAAGATCACTGTGAGTGGGAGTCAACTCATGGACAACTAGCTCTCTATCTGTCTGGATGTCTTGTGTACCTAGACTGTTACCTTACATATAATAAATATTTTCCAAATGAATGAACAATGCTATAATTATGGATCAGGTACTGTGTTAAAGCTTTAGTCCTGGTGTGGCACTGTGGGATAAAGCACTGGACTGCAAGGTCTGTTTGAACCACAAGGTCAGTTGTTCAAACTCACCAGCCACTCCTTGGAAACCCTAGACAGGGTCACCATGAGTCAGAACCAATGCAACAGCACTTAACAACAACAACAACAACAAGCCTTACAAAACACCTAGAAGAACATGACTCATCTCTCCATTTTCTAGATGGGAACCACCATGGAAGGGAGAAGGAAGGCGGTGAGAGGCTCTGCAAGGCAGCTGGTTAAGAATGAGTTTGCCTGTTTTTGATTTGAAATGCAGCTTTATCCTGGAAAGTTCTCTAGTCTCGAGCAAGTTATTTAATTTCTCAGGATTTCAGTAAACCAGACTCAAAAGGGAATAACTGTAGCACTATTACTCCCTATGATTTTGAGTCCCGGTGGGGCACTCTGTAGGATAAGCACTGGACTACTAACGGCAAAGTTGGTGGTTCAAACCCACCATCCACTCCTTGGAAACCCTATACAGGATCACTATGAGTCAGCACTGAACAACAAAATAAGATTACGCACACAAAGTCCATAGCAGAAAAATTAATACATGTTAGCTGTTGAAAACAACAGGACACAGGAGGGATTTGAACTTGGATCTATCTAGTACCAATACTGGGTCTTGACTGGTGCATTAAACTGCTTTGGATCTCCCTGACCCAGTCTTCCATTCCATTCTGAAGCAGCAAGCATTTTCCACCCCAATTGAGATCGATTTCTTCTTTGTGCGCCCCCTTTAAGTGCACGTTCCTTCTTCTCACACACCTCACACCCCTCACCGCCCCCATCTGTTCAT